GGTAGAAATATTCCTTGCAATCAGTGACAGGCTATGATTATCAGAATTGAAGGATTCCTTTCTTTCACTTCCTAAGTTGCAGATACATAGTTTTCTTTTAAAAATTTAGTATTGTTACTTACTGTTCTATGGATGTAACATATTAGGCATTGCTGTTCAGTAATATAAATTTTTGCAATAATTTTCAGAACTCACAAGGAATTTTTTTTCATATTATAGCTTCAGCTGTTCAAACTGTTTACCATAGATCTATAATTCCTGAGATCCTATTTTTTGCTTTGATACTTCTATATGTTGTGTGTGTGTGTTTGTGCCTCCAAATCAGGGAGAAATCCCTGCAGTTTTCTTGGCAAGGTTTTTCAAAAGCGGCCTGTCATTGCCTGCTTCTTAGGGCTGACACTGACTAGCCCAAGATCACCCAGCTGAATTCACGACTAAGATAGTACTACAGTAGAACACATGGTCTCCTGCATTCTAGCCTGGTGCCTTAACAACTACACCAAACTGGCTCTCATATATACTATTTATAGCCTAAATATATTAAACCCACTGGTGAAGAAGGAAATCATACAGATGTATCTGCATATCATTTTATTTTATTTTTTTATTTTCATGTGAGAAAATACTTAGCAAGAGCTGCATATCAATCAGTGCTATTTTTGTCCTGATTTCTTTTTCAGGGTAAATAGAATTTACCTAAATGATAAAATACCAATTCCATTTATAGCAGATTACCTCCAGATTCAAATGAGATCAAGGTTGCATCCATAATTTTCAGAAAGGAACTAATAATCATATGAATAATCTAAAGTGAATAGTTTGCATTCAGATGGAATACTGATGACTGACAACGTTTGATGTTATTGTTCAAGGTCTGAAATAAGTTTTTATTTGATATTAAATGTCAATATCCAAGGTGTCAGACTACCCACTAGGTGAATATGATAGTCCATGAAGATTATATAAATGTTTTAAGCCCTAAAGAAGATCTTATTCTCATCAGTTTAAAATGGGAAGAAAACCAACAGCAACTAAGCACAACAAAATAACATTAATCAACTCATCTTTATGAGACAAAACCTGACAATTTGGTTTGTTCATTAAGCTAACTTTTCAGGATCTCTTTAATTTGAGCCACTACATTGGAAAAGCCAGTGCATATAAGTGGCCTAACATTTGATGTCAAGCCACTGACATCACCACAAAAATAATGTGACAGCTACAATAGGAATTTAGTGACTTTTTCCAGGATTACCCACACTCTTGGTTCTCTCATTTTTAACTAATCCAACCAACCATAGCTAGCCCCTTCTTCCCAAGAACCTCTACAAACAGAGCATAATTAACTATTCAGTCCAACTACTCCTTGTCCTGTCAGTTGTAAGAGAAAGAAATACCTATTTCCTCATGGGATGGAGTCCAAAGGCAACCATCTAGTTCAGGAGAGGAGGAAAAAAAAAGTGCATTGGTACACCTCCTCCACCCCATCCCCAGCAGTTTGCATTTCACTTTTCTTTTACATAAAGAATAAGTACAGGTAGTCCTCAACTTACAACTATTCATTCAGTGACCACTCAAAGTTACTGTTTTTCACACACATGACAGCTGCAGCAACCCCCCCCCCCCAGTTACATGCCTAAAATTCAGACACTTGTCAACTGGCATATATCTGAGGGGTCCTTGAAGATCTCTGAGCTTGGCTGTTTTGTTGCAGACATTTCATTACCAAAACTAGGTACTGATGTTGAGATGCACTGATGATGTTACCTACTTTGGGTAATGAAATGTCTAGAAGAAAACAACCAAGCACAGAGAGCACCTGCACCTCTCATGTCAACCCTGAGCTACAAATATTCTCCTTTATTGGTATGTATTTAGGATGGTCGCAGTGTCCTGGGATCATGGGATTTTGCGACCTTCTGACAAGTAAAGTCAGTGGGGAAGCCAGGGTTCACCTAACTGTGCTACTAACTTAACAACTGCAACGATTCACTTAACAACCATGCCAAGAAAAGTTATAAAAGGTTATAGAGAAAACCCATCTTGCTTAGCAATGGAAATTTTGGCCTCAATTGTGGTTCAAAATCGAGGACTACCTTCAATGGGGAATATAATCTCAAATCCTGATTGTATGTGTCATCCAACTTGCTGCAGAATTTAACAAGGAACAGATATATAGCTTTTGCTCAGTGTCTTAAACTCCGGAGGAGAAAAGCTTTGGAAGTTTGTTTGGCACGAAATGGACCATTGCAGAAGGGAGGAGCGCGGGAGCGTCGCCTCGCCTCACCAGCAACGCGACTCATGTTCGCGGTCGGCCTTTCTGCACCGGGCGGCAATGTCGATCTAAGAAACGCGGGGTATTTGCCTTCCACGCGAGACTTTTCCGAAGGAAAGCAGCCCACCGCGCTTCTGATTTACAGCCGTCCTCGGTCCTCGCTTCTCTTTCCACCTCGCTCAAACTCCTCCGCCGTTGGCTGACCTCACCTCGGGACTAGTAGGCGTCTCGGAGAAGAGAGACGAGGCGGTTCGGAGCTGAACCCCCCAGCAGCCTCTGTAGTTCTCTGGCTCGTTTCCCCCCCCCCTCTCAAAGCAACCCATCTTCCCACAGATTTAACGGGCGGGATGGGCGCTCGCTCTTTACTTCTTTGAGGAAACAATGAAGTAGGTTCGCGCTCTCTTCACACTTCCAGGACTCTAGAAATCGAGACCGCGCCCGAGGGCGTCTGTGGGGGCAGCGGTGGAGGGAAGCAGTCCGTTTGGGCCCAAGCGCACAGTGCTCTCCTCCCTGCCCTCGCCACGGCTTGGCAAACGGGGGCCCAAAGACACCCCTCATATCCCCGCGGAGTGTTTGCAACGTCTCTGACAGAGCCTCGTGGAGGAAACCCTGCGCGCTCCTTGGCAGCTTAGAGAGCCTCGCCTACTGAGCGCCCGAGAACGAGCAGGGGAAGCGAGCGTCAGTCCGCAACCCCTCAGCAGCCGACGGCGTCGCACTACCGAAGGAATGCTGGACGGCAGTCGCCCCAGCCAAAAGAACAAGAGACACGTGCCCGCGGACACGTTCCTCCCCTCCCCCCCGGCACTTTCCGCGGCAGCGGGATAATCTCCTCTCGCTCTAGCTTTTCCAGAAGCGCCGTTTTTTTACGCGCCTGTTCCCGCTCCCGCCGACATGGATACACTCGTACGAACTGGCAGAGGGGGGGGGGGGGGCTTAAAGCACCTAGAATTGATACTGAGGATGACTGAGAAATATTGGGGTGACAGGACGTCCTCGACCGTTCTCCCATCTTTGATCTGTAGACGCTCGCCGCAGTCCCAGTCGTTTCTCCATCTGGGCGGTGGAGGCTACCTCAGAAACGGGAGCATCCTCGGGGCCTTCCCGATTATTTCTGAGAAAGTTCTCCCTCGCCCCAAAAAGACGTCGCCGTCGTTGCAACACTTCGTTTGCCCAAACGGGAGCCCGGCTTTTAGGAGGACGCCGTGGTATCTGCTCCTTCGATCCTTCCCTTGTAAAGACAGACACCCCTCCCCCCGAGTTTCCTCCCTCGCGCTTTCTAACCCAGCTTCCATATATCGTCGCTCTCCCCACCAGCCACCCCAACTCATCCTTGGTTTTCTCTCTCACACTTCTACAAGCATCTCCAGGATTGGGACTTCGGTCCCCACAAAGAAGAGACGGGGGACTTAAAATACACGTCCTGTCACCCCAATATTTCTCAGTCATCCTCAGTATCAATTCTAGGTGCTTTAAGCCCCCCCCCCTTCTGCCAGTTCGTACGAGTGTATCCATGTCGGCGGGAAAGCGAGGGACGGCCACTGTACCCCCACTTCTCGACAGCAACGATGCCGATTGTGGCTCTCATCCCACGCAATACTCCCTCTCCGTGACCGAAATAACCGCAGCTGTCACAGAAAACTCCCGTTCTTCTCAACTCCGTCTGCCCCACCGTCGTCCCCTACCCGAAAGAAACAGCCTCCGCAACAGATGCTACCCCAGCCCACGAGCATCGTCTCCCTCATCAACGCCACGTCGAAAGTCCCTCCCCGGGCTTTTGACTCCAATGGCCCAAGGTGAACCCCTCTGTCGCCCAATGACTACTACGGTATTAGAAATCCCGGTCGGAACAACCACGCCGAGGCAAACGGCAGCGTTTCCTCTTAATGACCCCCCACATGACTTAATCTTACCAATTCTTTCCATCTCCAGTTCGGACACCCACCCACCCCCCCGAAACCCACACACTCCGAGAGTTTGCTACGTTAACGCTAATTCGCCGCTGGCCAAGCATCTTTGCTCGCCGTGGCTCGTTTTAAATCTTCGGCAAAAGATATACTTGAAAGTTGTGTGTGGGGGCTAACCTTAGATGCCCCCTCCTGCCTCTCCGCCCCCGCCCCACACCACCATCATCACACGAGGGTCCTGGGCGGTCTTGCTCATTGGCTGCCCGCTTACCTTTTTCAGCGCGGACATTCTAGTGCATTATTCATTTAGCGTATAAGTGGATTGCATGCTGCGTTCAACGAGTCAGGTGAAGGAGAAGCCGGGGCAGGAGGAGATAGTAGTGGTAATAACAGTGGTGGCAATAGTGAAGGTGAAGAAGAAGAAGAAAAGAGGCAGAGAAGTATGCATAATAACATTATCTCCCGGGTGTATTTGTCTCATAGACTCGCGCGCGGCCGACACACATTCGGAAAACGGCGCCTCTGGATAGTTCCCTTGTCGCGGTCCAGGCGCAGCCGGCTGCTCCGTAAAAAAAGCGGCTGTGCGCTGAGCAAAGCGGGTTTGCTCGCTGCTGCCGCTGTCCGAACCACTCTCGAAGCGAAATTCTCACGTTCTGCGCAGCCGCGCACGGTCTCCCACACCCTCCCTTCCAGAGCTCGGCAGGCGAGGCGCGGTTCAGTCCGCGGCCAGGCAGCCCTAGAGGGGAGAGGTCTTCCCGCCCTTGGAACGCTGGCGTAGAGACCGCCCCCTTCAGCGCAAGGGCCAATGGGAAGCCAGGGCTTCTGCGGATAGATACGCCCGGATGGAAAGAGGAAGCTGGGAGCAGGTTGGAGCTTCAGCAGCAGCATTAGCAGCAGTAGGAGAACGTGGAGGGCTGTTTTCAACTTGGTGCCTATGATTCTCCCTTTGTGAGGGGTGTGAGCCTTTCGCTGCTTTTGTGCGCCTCTCTGGGACACATGGCCTTGAACAGGAGGAGAGAAGGTGAGGCGGCGGGGCGAGCTGGGGAAGCAGGCAAACAAGAACGTCACTGTGCAGGAAGCATAGAGATCAAGCGGGGACGGGCTGGACAAATATCCGCCCCCCTCCTCCTCCCAAGTATAGTAGTGGAGTTTGCTGCGATCGGTAGAGAAGAAGGCTTTGTTTGTGTTTTGGGCGTGGATAAGGCACTAAAGGCTAACGAGAAGAGCCTCAAGACTTTTCTGCTGTTAAGGGGTGAGAAGATTGGAAGAAGCTGTGGAAAGAGGTCATCAAACAGTGGATGAGAGAGAGAAGGAGAGACATTAGGTTTGCTCATAATGCCTGCCACATGGGTTGGTGGGCAAAGTAAGGTCCTATAGAAGTGAAGCTGCCAAGTGACATAGTAAGGTTTATCTGTTTAGGTTCCACCTCCAGGTAATTCCCACAGTTGCCAGGAAGCATGATCAACCAGCCAGCAAATCTGAGGAATGCCATACCAGGAAAGACTAGACTCTATTATTAAGAAGTCACATCCTAAGATCCCAAAATTGGGATTGCTGAATGTCAACTTGGTCAGAAAAGAGTCCTTTCAATTGCTAAAGAAAATGTGTTTGTTATTTTTCAGCCAAGTGCTGAAAAATATTTCAGTGAGTAATTGATGAAATTATATATTACTAGTTTTTATTTCTCTAATATTGCATCACATACATATACAAGTTTTAATGTTTTTAAAAGAATGCCTGGGACCTTGAGATGAATTGATCTATATACCAGATAAAGCTAATTTGTCAGGAATGCAGCAAGCCACAATTTTGAAATTGAAATTGTCTATTTACAGAGATAGACCTACTATTACATAAGTGAGTCGGCCTCATCCAGAGTGGGTAGGGGGAAATGGGTAGTAACTGCCCAAGGACAAGACTATCATGAATAAAGTGTAAAGTGTCACCTGGTCTCCCAGTCCCCCCTAAATTAACTTGCAGTTTTCAGATATAGTTAAATAGCCTGTCCTGTTGTCAATGTTAAAATAAGACAACAGTGGGATTTGGTATTTAAACTGAAAAGGTTGATAACTTATTCTTCAAGCTGCAAATAACTTGCATCAGCCCTATAACTAAATCTTGGAAGATAAAATAGAGTGATCAATTCCCTTCCTACTAACGGAGTTGCATTATTCTAAAATTATGCTTGTAAATCTGTTGGGAAGATTTTTGTAGTAAATCTTGGAAGTTTCAAATTCTTCTGGCTGGATTCAGAGGGAAATATCAATGAACAACCATTAGCCTAGTATAGGCCAAAATGCACTCTTGACTGCTATGTATTTCTCTACTTTTTGGTGGGATGGCATTCATCATATCTGCTGCCATAAGGAAGTCCTAATATGGAAGATGCAGAAATGTTTGTTTATTTAGTATTTATATCTCGCCTTTATTTTATAAATTACTCAAGGCAGTGAATGTACCTAATTTTCCTTCCTCTCCTGTTTTCCTCACAACAACTCTGTGAGTTGTGTTGGATTGAGAGAAAGTGACTGGCCCACCAGCCAGCTTTAATGCCTAAGGCAGGACTAGAACTCACAATCTCCAGCTTTCTAGCCTGGTGCCTTAATCAATGTCTAGGTCAGGGTTGTCAAACTGCTGGTCCGCGGGCTGGTTGCATCATGCAAAGGCTGTGCCCACCCCAGCTCCAGCAATGCAAAAAAAGTTGTGATACATCACAACATGTCACGTGACGTGGTGAGTTTGACACCCATGGTCTACGTCATTATTCCTGTATAAGTGAGAAGTTTATAGAACCAGTATTATGGCAGGAACATAATGGCATGATATGAGTGGGGCTACATTTCCATGAAAATTATAAATTATTTCCACTGGCTCTAATATCTTCTGTGGAGCCTGACTATAAATCAAAATATTGTGAAAGTAGAGAATCTCATCCAGAGTGGGTGTTTTTTAAGGGGAGAGGGGCAAAGTTAGTTATAGTGAACCTCAGTATAAGATGTATAGGCTCAGCTAGATGGCAGTACCAAGCTGACCTTGGCTGATCTTTAAAAAGTAATCAGGGTTGGACCTGGTTAGTGTTTATATGGTAGATATAAAGTCTTTAGGGTAGATTTGGAAAGTAAAAAAAAATATCCTGGGAGAAGGCAGTAATGAATCTCTTCATATTATTTCCAAAGGAACTCAATGAAGATATGCATTATTATATGTGAAGATGTCTAATAAAATGTCTCTAAACACTTTGTATGTGTGAACCCAGCCAGAGAATGTAAACAATGATGAGTTGCTTGTTAGAGGAATAAATCTTAGTTTGTCACTAATGCTAACATTGGGAGTACTAAGTTATGATTTGTTCAACCTGTTCAGATAGTGGGAAAACCTGAAGAGTAGCAGTTGGACAGAAGGAAAGAGCATAAATGTGCATTTACAGTATTAGTTTTGGTTATCTGTTAAATCTGTTAAAAGGTTTCCTGTGTCATTTAGTTATTCCAGTAAAATTAGGAATGACAAAGAGAGCTAGATTTTTCACAATTTTAAAATGTAGATAAGGGTTTTTGAAGTGGTTGTAAAACAATAGAGTCATTTACCATTGGAACTTCGCTGTTGAAGCAAAGGAACACCTTATCCTTTGGGTCAGCAAAAAACTTAAGCAATGTAATTACTGTCAGTTCCACTCTTCCTTTACAGCTGTTCTGGCCAAATTATGTGATTCTAACTGATGGGTGTGCTAATGCACCCTTCTGTTCGTCTCTCCAGAGTGTGCAATTCTTCCCCTTGGTAAATGTCATCTGTAGCATGGAAGAGCCAAGCTGTTTTATTTATTGATTCTGTGTCATTTTTGCCCATTGCAACATTTCATCTCGCAGAAGTTCACCATCACACCAGTTCAGGTTTGCACAAATTCGCCTCTGCCCTCAATTCCCCTTCTCTTAAGTTTTATTTGTAAGAATTTCATATATATCATTTGGGGCTAGAAGAGAAGATTAAGGAAACTGACAAAAACTGTTTGGAATTTGGAGATATTTATCTCTCCATTCCTTGAATTCTTTTGCAAAATCATCTCTTTTCAATAGCATAAGGGGTAGTGCAATATCATGCTCATGTATAATGGGTAAATTGGGGAGAACAAGAGAAAGGGGTGGGATGGAAGAAGCAACTAGGTTTATATAAGCTAGGTATCTTTACAGGTACATTTTAAAAGGAAAGGAGGAACAGAGAAAAGATCTGGTTTTAACTGAGAAGCAGCGGATGCTAGCCATTCAAGGGGAAGGTGATAAAACCATACACACCTGATACAACACTCAGAGACAGGTGTTTTGCCCGTCCTTGTTTGTTTATGGCCTTCAACTCATTCTTGACTACTGGCAATTGCCTGGGCATTTGCTGCAGTGTTCTTGGCAACACCTTTCAGAAATGATTTGCCCTTCCCTGCTTTTTAGGGCTAAGAAAGAGTGACTGGTCTATGGTCACCCAGGCATATGGGATTAGAGTTTGTAGCCTGATGCCTTAACCACTATACCAAACTGGCTCTCTCCTTGCGCTAGGTGCTACAAAACAATACTGATTTTATAGACAAAATCTAAAAGTGATTAGATATGATTTATGTACCCTGTTATAATGGGTCCCTGTCACCTTTAGCAGGAAAAGCTTCTTTTAATCTGCAGCACAATGAGTACAGACAAGTTTAATATTGGGCTGAGAACTAGATAAGTCTAGTATAATAAGGAATATGGGTTGCTGGAATATACTGGAGTCTGTTCAAACTTCAAGTATTTTGTCTTGTTACTTCTGTACATTTTATGTCATCGGTCTTTTCTGCATGCTTCATGTTTCTCCTCTCAATTGCCCTTTTAATTAATTTTCCAAATTAAAAATAATTTCTGCAGCATTATAATTCTTGGCTCCTTTCTTTAGGGAGACTGGAACAGATTCAACTTTCATTTGTACAAAATCAGCTAGCTCATCACAAGTCTATACAGATCATAGAATTTTTACATAATTGATGTCGGTTATGCTCTTTTTTCATTGTAGAATTTTATTTGCTTCTTATTTAATTAGTAAATCATAACTTAGAGCAGAATCTAAGGTAACAGAAAATTAAAACCCCTTTATTGCCATCACATATTTCTCTAAACTTTATCAAAATAGGCAGTTTGTTTTTGTATCCTATTTCTTGGATGAAGTATATTTATGAGAGATTGGTTAATGGAAGGTTTCAGTACTAATTTAGGATATTTTTTTGTTAGATATCATATGATACAGATGATGGCTTCATTTTTCTATTATGTTGTCCCTTCAACAGTAAAAAAAAAATAGCCATCTTCTACTAGCTTTGAATTCTTATCAATTTCCAGGGCCAGTTTTCTTAATAAGTAGTAATACAAGAATGACAAGGAAAAGATTCTTTGCATTTATTATTAAATTGAAAACATTAATATCACATTTGTTTTTACATAGCTTTTTGTGAAAAACATACTTATCTGAATTATGTATTAATAAATGTACACATTTAGTGTTTCTGTCAGCATACTTTATAGCCCAGAATTTTGCATACCTGTATATCCATTTTTAAAAGAGGAAAATATGAAGGTGACTATATATAGGAAAATGTTTCTCATTCACAATATAGAAATAACAAAGATGAGATACAGAGCTAGTTTTCAAATAAAGCTTAAATATCTTGTTGTTTAAGAACAGTTTTTAAAAAGATGCATTTGCAAATATGTATGTGAAAATGCTCACAACCTCTCTCAGGGGAAGTGGTTGAGCAAGGGGTCTCATTGATGTTGAAGTTACTGAAATTTATGGACATGAAATGTTACAGGAGATCCACATTTGGAGATCTGCACTGTTTGCCCAGATTTTTTTTATTAAAGGTATTGTTCTTATTAAGAGAGAAAATAGACAAAATAAAAATCATTGTGGGCTGGCGATTCGAGCTTGTGAGTCTTGTATAGAATGCCCTGTGAAACTATAACGATGAATTGCAACACATCTGAAAATAGCTGTAGCTTTTTTCTACCT